TATGAATAATCAAAAAGGGGGAAATCTTTATAGTCCCATTCATACTACACCTTTACCAGCAAACCACCGCTCTGCACACCCGCTCTCGCCAACCCCACTTCACAGTGGCTGTTTGAAAAATGTGGGGCTGGTTGGTGAGTGGCAGTGCTGGCCACTGGTCTCTGTCCCCCCCCCATGTAGTGGCTTCACCAGTCCTTACTAAGCTGTAGTCCGAGGAGATGGAAGGGGGGGGGAACACACCACACCCCCTCTTTCTCTGCCTTTGTTGCCGCCACCCCCACTATGTCACTTCAGCCTCTTAGGGCCCCTCCCCCGTAGCCATTTCCTTTCCATCTCTTGACTGCTTCAACCACACACCCCTCACCGCTCACCCCTTCCCATGCAGCCTCCTGTCTTCCCTCCCTCGCGCCTGTTGCTCACGTGCTGGAAAAGGATCCTGGATAGGCCTTAAGGGCCTATGAGCTGTGTGTGACACCCCTGATCTAAACCAATAAATAAATAATCCTCCAGTTCGAGACCCGAGTGTGCCGCATGACGGAGTGAGCTCCCGTCTCTAGTTCCAGCTCCTGCCAACCTAGCAGTTCGAAAGCAAGAAATTGCAGGTAGATAAATAGGTACCGCTTCGGTGGGAAGGGAACAGCGTTCCGTGCGCCTTGGTGTTTAGTCACGCCGGCCACATGACCACGGGAACGTCTTCGGACAGCGCTGGCTCTTCGGCTTTGAAACGGAGATGAGCACCGCAACCCTAGAGTCAGACTCACTCCGTCATGCGGCAACCCGGGTCTCGACCTGCTGAACTACCAACCTTCCACAGCCTGCAGTTCAGCGTCTTAACCATTTGAGCCACCGCAGCTCCTTACAACATACAATATAGTTGTAAGGTATCAAGCCACTAACCACTAGGCCTGGGCTGTCAGCAGGGGAGGCCAAGAATGGGAATTTGGACGCCCACTGCCTCAACCAAAGGCCCGGTGGATCAGCTCAGTTTTGCAGGCCCTGCGGAAGCGTAACGGATCCCTGCAGGGCCCTGATCTCAGGTGGGAGCTTGTTCCACCAGGCTGGGGCCAGGGAAAACGAGAAGATGTCGATCAGTTGAGCACAAGGCTCTGTGGAGCACACGTGGGGAGAGGCAGTCCCTGAGACGTGCAGGTCCCTGGCAATGTTCCCTCTAAGCTGTGGAGTCCTGTGAGCAAAAATTCTGCTTTGTGAGCGACTGGCATTAAAGTGGTGAGCGAGCGATTTGGCTGCTGCATAGATTAGCTTGCTCTGGAGCCCTCCTCCCTGAGCTGAGACAAATGTGTGAGCCGGAGGCTAAAAAACTGTGAGCTGGCTCACACTAACTCAGCTTAGAGGGAACGGTGGTCCCTGGCCACAGAGGGCTTTAAAAGTCAGCACTTTCCGGTACTCTATAGGCAGCCAGTGCAGTTGGCGGAGCACCGGCTGAATGTGTTCCTGCACAGGCATTGCCGTCAGCATGCGTGCCACCACAATCTACGCTAGCTGCAGTTTCCGGGTCAAGTCCGGGGGCAGCCCCACGTAGAGCAAGTTACAATAATCTAGCCTGGAAGCAACCATGGCGTGGATCACTGTAGCTGGGTCCTGGGAAGTGAGACAGGGAACCGGTTGCTCAATCAGCCGAAGATGACAGAAGGCTGATCCATCAACAGTGGCAACCTGGGCCTCCATGGAAAGGAATGGGAGATGGGATGGGGCTCCTGCCTTGTCTCTTGGTGGGGAAGAGAGAGAGAGCGCCTGGGTCCAAGCGGTCGAAACGCCTTTCTCTAGCTTTCTGTAGGGGCATTTCCAAATATTGTGAGCTTCTAGTGTCCTGGCTCCACTGGAGGACCTCCTGAGGGCACCTGGTATTTTTTGGCCACTGTGTGACACAGAGGGTGCGTTCAGACGCGGCATTTGTAACGGAATGTGTGAGCCGGAGGCTAAAAAACTGTGAGCTGGCTCACACTAACTCAGCTTAGAGGGAACGGTGGTCCCTGGCCACAGAGGGCTTTAAAAGTCAGCACTTTCCGGTACTCTATAGGCAGCCGGTGCAGTTGGCAGAGCACCGGCTTAATGTGTTCCTGCACAGGCATTGCCGTCAGCATGCGTGCCACCACAATCTACGCTAGCTGCAGTTTCCGGGTCAAGTCCGGGGGCAGCCCCACGTAGAGCAAGTTACAGTAATCAAGCCTGGAAGCGACCATGGCGTGGATCACTGTAGCTGGGTCCTGGGAAGTGAGACAGGGAACCGGTTGCTTGATCAGCCGAAGATGACAGAAGGCTGATCCATCAACAGTGGCAACCTGGGCCTCCATGGAAAGGAATGGGAGATGGGATGGGGCTCCTGCCTTGTCTCTTGGTGGGGAAGAGAGAGAGAGCGCCTGGGTCCAAGCGGTCGAAACGCCTTTCTCTAGCTTTCTGTAGGGGCATTTCCAAATCTTGTGAGCTTCTAGTGTCCTGGCCCCACTGGAGGACCTCCTGAGGGCACCTGGTATTTTTTGGCCACTGTGTGACACAGAGTGTTGGACCGGGTGGGGCATTGGCCTGAACCAACACGGGCTTCTCTTATGTTCTTACTATGGAGCTGGCCCTGCACACAGCTGCATCAGAGGCGCTGCACTGTGCCAGCGTATCTCCACGTTTGTATTACCTTGATCCAAGTTTCCGATGTCCCCTTTTGTGAGCTTTCTTGTGAGCTTTCCGGTTTGATTGTTTAAAATGCTTCTTGATATGCCTCCTGTCCACTCGGAACAGAACTGTAGTTGTCTTTTTTTTATTCCCTTGCCCCCTGAACATACCGACAGAATTCATTTCCATTAAAACTGGTGTGGGTTTTTTTTTTCGTAGCAAAGGTGTAAAAATGGTGTGAAAGAAACTAACCCATTGGGAACCACCAATGAAGCAAGGGGCCCTGAGCTGGATAGCCCGGTCTAACCTGACCTCGTCAGAACTCCAAAGCAGTGTCGGGCCTGGCTAGTATTGGATGGGAGACCTCCAAGGAATACCAGGGTTGTGACGTGTAGGCAGGCAATGGCAAACCATCTCTGAACATCTCTTGCCTTGAAAACCATACAGGGTCACCGTACGTCAGCTGTGACGTCACGGCACTTTCTGCCACCAATGAACCACAGGAGTTGGTAACAGCAAACGTATCAAAATGGAAAAGGGTATATATCTTTACCTCCCAGCTGATGAGGCCTGGTTTAAGTTAGCAGGGGAAATGTGGCGGCAGCCGTCAGGACCATGGCCAGCTCCCTGTGGGGGATGGATGCTCACAGTGGAATGCGTGTTGGCAAAGCATGAAGTGATAGCCAGCCATTGGAAGATGACGTTTTCCAACATTCCCTTACGTTAATTAATTTCCTGCAAAATATAAGTCTAACACAGTGTGTATGTAGAGATAGGCTAAAGCCTTTTCCCTTGGTGTGCTAATTGTTTTTTTAATTTGCAGGGAGTTTTTTGCACAGGGAAGTGACCACCTCCATCTGCGGTCTGAAGTCCATTCTGCCATCTTAACACCTTGTTTTACTGCATGTGTAGACCAGACATTAGACTGTTGCTCCAGCCTGGAGCCAAAGGGGAGGGGGAGGCTGTAGGTGTGTAACTCCTGTCCCATCTCCTTGGGGAAGACTTCTCAGCTGTAGATGCTGGTGTTCTAGACAGGGCTCGAAAACTTCCCACAGTCTCTGGAGTTGGTGTCGTAGTAAGCAAAGAGCCCTTTGGTGCTACAGATGGTTTTGCAGTTAATCAGAGTACAGGGAAGGGGGCAGAGCTGTTGAGAGCAATGGTCTCCCATCTCTCTGTGGCTCAGTGGTAGAGCATCTCCTTTGCATGCAAGAGGTCCCAGATTCAATCCCTGGCATCTTCAGTTGAAGGAGCAGGTAGAAGGTGATGTGAAAGACCTTTTTCCAAGACCCTGGAGAGTGCTGCTGCCAGTCAGAGTAGACAATTCTGATAGACCAAGGGTCTGAAGTATAACCTCTTCCCTTGTGGGAGTCTCTTGTGAGGGGGATACTTCAAGTAGCAGCTCTATTGTCCTCCTCTGCCATCAAGTTTTTGGTTTATTTCCCTGATACAAAGGGACCAGGGTCCATGAAGCTGCCTTATACCAAATCAGACCTATAGTCCCTCAAGGACGGATAAAAGGAAGTCCTTCTTCACCCAAAGAGGGATTAACACATGGAATTCACTGCCACAGGAAGTGGTGGCGGCTACAAGCACGGACGGCTTCAAAAGGGAATTAGATAGGCATATGGAGCAGAGGTCCATCAGTGACTATTAGCCACAAGGTATAGATAGGGGCTCTGGGGCAAGTGATGCTCTGTCTTCTTGGTGCTTGGGGGGGTCAACAGTGGGAGGGCTTCTAGTGTCCTGGCCCCACTGGTGGACCTCCTGATGGCACCTGGTATCTCTGGCCACTGTGTGACACAGAGTGCTGGACTGGATGGGCCTTTGGCCTGATCCAACATTGGCGTCTCTTATGTTCTTAAGGACAGTATTGTCTCGTCTGGCTGGCAGTGGCTCTCCAGGGTTTCTGGCTGAGGTCTTTCACATCATCTACTGCCTGGTCTTTTTTAACTGGAGATGTTAGGGATTGAACCAGGCACCTTCAGCATACCAAGCAGCTGCTCTTCCAGTGAGCCACGGCCCCTCCACAAAATACCTGAAGCTGCTTCATACTGAATCAGACCCTTGGTCCATCAAGGTCAGTATTTCCTACACGGACTGGGAGTAGCTCTGAGGGTCTCAGGCAGAGGTCCATGATGCTCATGCAGTGATTGGAGCTGGGATAGCCAGGAGGCCAATATAGTTGCTAACCAGGAATGTGGGGATACTTTGTTGTCGTATGCTGGTACAAATCCATCTAGCAATATTTTTAATTTACGGACCACACCAGAACATGCACTTTCTTTTCTAAAGAGAGATTCTGGATCATTGCTTGTAATGCTTCCCCTCCTTGTTCAAAATGCCCTTTTTGTCATAGTGTGTGATTCCTCTTGCAGAATGAAGTTGAGCTGGGAGAACTCCTGCTATCCTTGAACTACCTTCCCAGTGCAGGAAGACTGAATGTAGATATCATTAGGGCAAAACAGCTGCTTCAGACGGACATGAGCCAAGGCTCAGGTAATGCTTAGTACTTTTTCGAAGTGATTGGCATGGCCAAGTTGCCGATGTGTGAATATGTACCTAGCTTGATAGCGTGGTACGTGTAAGATACTCGAAAGATATGGATGCTTTACAGAAGGACTATCAGGCAGATGCTTGAATCAGTAACGTAGCTTTAAGAATCTCTGTCCTTGAGGCGAGGTGACCAACAGCACGTTCAGCTAAATGCCATCATGCCGGACGCTGTGTGTGGGGTGGGGCCACTTCTTTGCGCCACCCCAAAAGCTTGGGGCAGGTTCAGCTCACAGCTTCCTATAGAGCTGTGATGGCTTAAAATTAGAACTTAAGAGTGTGGTAGTTCTAAGCTGGGGATGTAAACTTGCACAGGGTGCCTTCATGCCCCAACAGTCTCACAAAACATCTCAGGGGACCATACCTTACCCTGTTGTTTTCCTCCATTGCAATCCAATTCCTGAGTTTCTCCCTGCTGTGAATCTGTGAACCTTGGGCCTTTCAGACTGCTGAAATGGTTGCAAACGGGACTGAGCGACTTCTGGCTGCGGGGGAGGGAATGACACTTTTCAGTGTTCCCCTATATTAATAATTCCCTCTAAGTGGAAGATACATCACATGTGAGGAGTTTTGTTACACCTTTCTCCTGGAGTTGCTTCCCCCCCCCCTTGCAGAGATTTTTCACATGAGGGGAGATTGAAAAATGTGACTCTCCCCGTCTACAGTCTGAAATGAGCGAGCTGGCAGTGGACTCTAGAAGAGCGGAGGCTGAGTGTTCAGAAGAGGAGTTGTGTGAACTGGCCCCTCCATCTATCTCCTTCCTCCAGGGCACTATTTTGTTGGTGTTCCTGTTACTTGCTGTTCCTGTCGACAAATACCTGCTGTGTCGAGGAGAACAACATAGCCACCGCCCCTTCACAAGGCCGGCGTTTAGTCCGTCCTGGCTGAAAGCAAACAGAGTACATTCTGACCTGCTGTTGCTGCTGAGAAGCCCGGATGACTCACGCAGGGATTCCAAGAATGCTCGGCGCCAGGCTGCTCTCAAATGGTGAAGGGCTGGACCTGAAACGATCTTCGGGATCTTGGATTTTCCATGCATGTGCCCAGCAGGCTAAGCAAGGATTGATAGACTGATAGATAAGCCTCTTGCATGCATAGGATTCCAATACCATTCTTCTTCCTCTGAGCCAACAAAGGTCGTGGGAGGTGAAGAGCAGCCCAGTGAAGTGGGCCAGACGAACGGCAGGAGAAAACTGTTTTGTTTTGGGTGATTCACAGTTATTCCAGCTCGATTCCAGTAGCCTCTTAGAAACCAACACGGTTGTTGAGGTGTGAGCTTTTAAGAGTCCGAGCTCTCAAGCGCTCCTAACCCCCCAAAATCTTGTCGGTCTCTTAAGGTTCTTCTGGACTCGGATCAAGCTCCTCTACTGCAAAATTCTTTTGTATTTTGAAAGAAACTGATGTTCATATATTTAGTGCAATAGAAGCACACACTATTGGACACAACCCCAATGAAGTTAAGCACTTCTGAGTGTCACTCATGTGAAAGGGAGTGTTAAACACAGACGACAACAACAACCCCCGAAATAAACCAGAGTCTAAAGGGGGGGGGTAGTTTGAATTGGATTGCACCTGCCCACAGTATATAGAATCGTAGAGTTGGAAGGGGCCATACAGAGCATCTAGTCCAACCCCCTGCCCAATGCAGGACCAGCCTAAAGCATCTCTTGACAAATATTCGTCCAGCCTCTTCTTGAAAGCTGTCAGTGAAGGGGAGCTAACCCCCTCCCTAGGCAGCTGATTCCACCTTTGAACCACTCTGACCGTGAAAACGTTTTTCCTAATATCCAGCCGATACCTTTCTGCATGTAATTTAAACCCGTTGCTTCGGGTCCTGTCCTCTGCTGCCAACTGGAACAGCTCCTTGCCCTCCTCCAAATGACAGCCTTTCAAATATTTAAAGAGAGCAATCATGTCCCCCCTCAGTCTCCTCTTCTCCAAACTAAACATTCCCAAGGCCCTTAGCCTTTCCTCGTAGGGCTCAGTCTCCAGACCCCTGATCATCCTCGTCGCTCTCTTCTGCACCCTCTCGATTTTGTCCACATCCTTTTTGAAGTGAGGCCTCCAGAACTGCACACAGGACTCCAGGTGCGGCCTGACCAAGGCAGTATCCAGAGGGGCTATGACCTCCTGCGATTTTGATGCTGTGGCCAGAGGCACGAGGCTTTAGTATGAGCCCTTATATAATAAGGGCTCATATATATATATATTCTAGTATATAATCTGTAAGTCTTCATCTGTTTCAGTGGTATTTAAGCCGTGGGTCAGGATCCTCAGATGGGCTCCTGTCGGACTGTATTATGCCTCCGCAGAGCTGCCGGTTGTAAGTTCTGCGGCCCTTCAGGAGGACTGTGCGTGCTCTGGGCACCAGGCTGAGGAGAGCAGCCAGACAGAGGGGGAAAGTCACTCAGCAGTGGGCAGGCGCTTCCATGGATCTGACCCCGGCTTCCTCCTCACTGGTGCTTGGCCTGTGTCTCCCCATCGCCAGCTCCTCTGCTCTACCATGCCTGGGCCTAGCATTGACACCGGGGAGGTTATAATTTTGGCTCCCCCTCTTCCTGTCACATGGCTCTAACATCATGGGACTTCCTGCCACATCCTTGCTGCTCACTGAGGTCTAAGTGTGGAAAGGTGGAAGACCACTGATTGACTTTTATTACTGTTTGTTTTGTGCAGAGTTGTAAGTAGAGATGTAAAATTTCCGGAAATGTTGAAGCTCGGGAAAAAGCCCGTGTTTTTTTTCCGGGAAAAAACGGAAATTTTCGGGAAAATTGAAAAAAATGCTACATTAGCATTTATTTTGTCTTTTCTAGATTGAAAGTCATTCTGTTACTTTAGGAACATAAAATATGACTATGGACATTTTTACTTGGCATGAAATTGTCACAACTAGCATATTAAAAAATATAGTGCATCCAAACAATTATTTCAAACAGAATACCCACCCACATGCAAAAACAAAACTGAAACCTTTTTCTTTTCTCCTGACAATAGCACCTCCTAAAGGAAGAAATGCATCTTGTTCTTGCATTGGAGGGTTCAGTTTGTAACCTAGGACTTGCTTGTCCTCAGTGCACAGAAATTAGATCAATTTGATACCATATATATATATATATTAGAAAAACGGGGGGGAAAAGTTTCCCCCCCGAATGTTTCCGGGTTTTTTCCGGACCTTCACATCTCTAGTTGTAAGCTGAGAAAATCGCCCTCCTCTGGGCTTAGCACAGAATCTCCTATAGTTCACTGCCTGGAAGATGTCTTGGGTCAGGCTGACCTTCTGATTGGCTCCGGTCATACCCCTCTAGGGAGGCCGGCTTTCAACAATCCAGGCTGTGGCTTACCCGGGGCTAGTCCTATACTGAGAAAAAGGAGTCTTCACCCAGGAGAGAAGAGTGTTCTGTAGTAGTTAGAGTGCCACACTAGGCTAGATCCTCACTCTGCCCTGAAGCTTGCTAGGTGACAGCGAGCCAGTCACTCTCCGTCAGCCTAACCTACCTCACATGGCTGTTGGGTGAATGCAGTGGGGAAGGGGGAACCATGTGCACTGCTCTGAGCTCCTTGGAGTAAGGTTTAAATGTACTAGATGAACAGTGTGCTTCATTGAAGAAGATCATATTCTCCTTTCTTTTTAAAAAGCATTTTTTAAAAAGCATTTTCATCCAAAGAATGATTAACACATGG